GTGGGTGCGGGTGTGCGGCCATAAGCAGAGTCCATGTGTGTGTATGTTCATAGGATGAGTCCCACACGCACACTGCACCCACACTCCATTCACACTGCCATACAAGCAGACCCCCACATCTACACCCTGTCACACAGCCCAGGCACCTTCCCCCCACACACAGCCCCCCACAAACCCCAGGCCCACTCACAACTCACATATCCACACACACATGCCCACATGCTCCCACACCTGACATGTCCACACATCCACAGCACCCCACAAACCTATACCCCCCCCCAATATACAACAGTAAAAGTTTATTTTAAGCTATTGTGCAATCACCCCTATGTATGCAGGCCTAAGTCACAGTTATAGAGCAAGAGTTGTGGAGAAGTCTTCAGTGCTCCTGTTTCCTTTGAGGAGCTGGGAATCTTAAGTCTGGGATTTCCATATTTCACCAGAATGTGACCTGTCTTGGAAGAGGATTGAAATGTCTGTCAGTTTAGCTAGTACCTTGCTTAGCTGCTGCTATTTCATTTGCTCTCACTGTGCAAGGAGCAAATAAAAGAATGGGTTTATAATTAGCACCAGATATTTACTAACATGCCCAGAAAGAGACCTGAGCCTGTGAAATTACATTTCAATGGTTTGAGTGGATTGTTTTGGTACAATGCCTGCTTGAACTTGATCCTTTATCTAAAAATCCAATTGTGAAAAATAATAAAAGGAATAAGGGAAGAGGCCGGTCTACTGGTTAGTGCTCTGCTCCTGCAAATTGGGCACTAATTCAATTTACAGCACCACCTCTTCTGTAATCATCAGGGGTTAGGTATAGAAGCAGTTTCCTCTGTCTGAGCTTGGGCTGTGGTAGCTTGAAGGCATCAGCAATAAGCTGAATGATTACTATATTTTCTTGCATCCAACAGGCACCTTTCTCCAAAAAATTAGCCCCCTAAAATTGAGGGTGTGTGAATAAAGCAGGCAAGCCTGATTTTCTGCCCAGGGTTGGAAGCACCCTGGTTTGACTCCTGCTTCACAGTGTGGTAGCTGTGTTATTACTGTTCAGGTAGCTGTGGGAGTTAAGTTAATGGCTCATTGTTCTTTATTCTATGGTATTAATGATCATCTCTCCTTTTTAATGATCTTAATGTTCCTCTAATCAAGCTAACCTTTCTTTGGTCAATTTTGCTGTCTCCTAGCTACTCCTGGTCTCTTTATTTTAACTCTTTCCAAATCATAGATCTACCCATTGAGACCAATCTTCAGCAGTAACCAGGGAATTAGCTTTAGTTATGCAGGAAACACAGGGTGAATCAGTTTAAAATTAGTCTCTATCTCTGTTCTGTTCATTCATAGCTCTGGAGAAATCTTTTCTCTTTATTTTGCCTTTCAAAAGCAAGTTGTGTATTAAAATTATTTTATAATAATTATAATAGCATGTTGTTTTTCGAGAAAATATGGCATGTACTCATTTTCCAAAGCATTAAGATCAGATACGATCTCTCAGTCAAAAATAAAGTGACCACAGTCCATAGATTTAATGACATGTTAAAAGAAGGAATAAGGGGGAGGTTGTCAGAGGATCGTAAGAAGCTTCATGGGAACAAAAATAAGAATACAGTACTAGAAGGAACGTTTGTTTGTGATAGAAGTCTTGCGAAGAACAAAAAGCTCTGTGAACTTTCCCAGGCTATTTTACAAAATCAGTACTATGGCATAACAAGCATCTCCCTGCGCAGAGTGAAAGGGAATGTTGGGCAGAATGTTTATTCAGTGTGCAGCTTCTTTCCATTGTTCATCAAAATGTGTTATTGTAGCATAAGTGGAATTCAGCAAGCAGTCTGACTGGCTGATCAAGAGTCTGACCTGTGAGGATACTGGACTCCAACTTTATCTCAACAAATAATGGTTTCATTGGAATAGCTGAAACTTTAGGAGGAAGGAAGAAACATTAGTGCGAATTTCCCCTAGATAACAGAATCTTGTTTATAGAAATCCTGTTCCATCTTGATGTCTAAATATTATATATGCATAAATAGAAAGGAGCATGGTTTACCAAGCTGAATTTGGAAACCACAATCCTTGCAAGAATCTTGATTTTTGTCCATTTCATAACTTTTCTTCATATTCAAGATGACAGCACAATATTCAGAGATGTTAACAGATGGAAATGACCTAAGTAGGTCAAGCTATGGCCTGCACAGCTTATTTTCTAATTCTCTGCTCAGTCTCTTTTTATAAACTTCAAGTCTTCCTTTGGAAAAATATTTTGTGACAGCAGAGTAATGATCAACTCCCACTCTCTGCTGCTTTGGGTTTTTGATAAAAGATCATGGGTTTGTTGTCAGAAGCTGTCTGCAGGCTACAAGCAGTAACCTGTTTTCTGGCCAGCCAGAAACAGCATTACTAATTTAACTTTCCAGGTAGAGGAAATATAATAGGATGTTGATAATTACACAGCAATGAGGAAAATTAGGTTAAGTAACAGTGGCAATTTCTTTTCATTTTAAAGTGTCCTAGAATGCCTTTATTCCAAACTGGATAGCAAAAATAGTTTGACAATCCTGTCTGAATTCAATTTTAATTACAGTGCCAGCTGAGTAGAATTCTCTATTTTACATATTCTTTTCGTCCAGATAAAGGCTGCATTTGTTACAACAATGGAGCCTGAAACCTAAGAAAGATGATCCTGCTAGACAATACTTTCAAGAAAATAATTGAGCAATTTTGCCTTCAATGCCTGTACTTGCATAAAACATAAAACTCAAATGCTGTTTACAAAGACAACATGAAGAACATATTTTACAGAACTAAGTTTATTACAATCTCCACAATACATTTCTTATCCTATAGTCACGCAAACAGATGTGACACGTAAAAAAAAAATTAAAGTAGTAAAAATTCAGTGACAAAACTTTAAAAATGTACTGGTCACATATGGTTTTCTCTTTAACTTCTTGTACTTCTGGGGAAGTTTTTATAGCTTCTGATTATAGAAGCCTCTAGGTTATCTCTTCAGCTGCTAAAAATTGACATTTAAATCAATGAAGCTATAATGATTTACATCAGCTGAGAACCTGGCTTGCTATCTTAATAAGGCATAATTTAACATCCAAGCATACCACTAACTACAGGCCAATCAAGGCAGAGGCAAGAGTTCCATTCTTTCCAATATGAGTTTTGCCAAAGAAAGACTGAGCCCAAAACAGTCAATTAGGTAGAGTGAACTATATTTTCATTTTCAGTGTGCATTGAGCAATGGGCCCACTCATGTTCTTTCTGGCTTAGTTGCTTTTCACAACCCTCTGTATATAAAACAGGAATACTGCTGGAACCAATAATCTCTCTAGACTTTGAAAGACTTTTTGAAGTGCATCTACTATATTACTCTTGAGATATAAACTCTTTCTACAGTACTTGGGGACATCTCCTATTGTTGGTCCACTGAAGCAGGAAGGAAGCGCCTGGGTTCAGTTCCTGGTGTTCTGTAAAGCCTCTATGAGAGTTTTGTTGTAATCCGCAATCTGCTTACTCACATTCTTCTTTATTGGCTGGTAGTTACTTTCCTGACTTTTTGTTGCTATGACTGATTGAAAGAGTTAAGAAACAAACTGCCAGTAAAAATAGTAACATAATTAGAGAACATAAGGGAACCAGATTACCAGTTTCCTTTAGCAAAATCTGTCAATGCTTACAGGTAACTGAAAAACTCAAACTGTATCTGAACAGAAGAATAATACTTTATTAGTTTAGATGCTGTATCACAACAAGTGTGCTGAACAAGAGTCTACTAACTAAAGTAACATTTATTTTCCATATGTATTACCCCTGCAGATCATGATCATCACCAAACAGCAAATTAATCCATTGCAGACTGACTTGCTGTTACGGGAAGATGTGTTCCAAGATTCCAAAATCAAAGATGTCAAAGCTCCTAGTAACCACAAATGTCCCTCTCTTTCTGCCAGGCAAAGCAGATTGAAACCAAATCTTCTCTGTTTTAGGATACTTAGTACATCAGGAGTTAGAAATAGCTTTCCAGTAGCAAGATTATAATTCAGGGACTTTTTCTTGTTTTGTGTATTCACTTTACCTGACAACTAACTTATTTCTGTCTGGCAGCTGGTTGATTTATTTATTTGATTTATATGCCACCCTTCCCAACAAAGGCTCAGGATAGCTAACAGTAAGAGACAGAAAGGGCAGGTGTTTAGGCTGTGATCCTGTTTGAAGATATTTCACTTGATGTTCTATTTCATTAGCTTTTATATACTTGTTAAAAATGACATGGTCCAAAACACTTGTTTTGACAAAACATCCCCGTAAGTGTCATCTTTACATAGGAATGAATTTCAGTTTAAATCATGTGATGCTAGGAAGCTCCTCAGAGTCTTTGACTACAAAGTCCAAAGATCCATTAGGGAATCAGCAAATCCTATGCTAATAGGAGCTCCTTCTGTGTCTAAGCTGGTAGTAACAAAACTTATCATATCTGCCAGTACAGGAATTCATAAAATACTGTTCCCACAAGCAGAACACGCAAGTCCCCTAATGCGAAGTCTAGGCTACCCAGTACCATACTGAGATGTGGTAGACTTGCTCTGCACGGGCTACCTGCCATGGCAGCAGCATGGTTGGGTTCGTACAGCACCGCATATTCCAGTAAACCTTCTTAGATGGGTAGAGCTTATTGGCACTTATGTTGCCTTGCATAAATGCCAGCCACATGGCTTCTGGTTTGGGAGGTAGTGTGAATGTAGCAGGCCTGGGGTGTCTTAGAACAATATGCCCAGCCAGTACTAGGGTAGAATACATGTGATCATAAAGTTTGGAGGCTTCTCCAATTTACTTGATCCCACTTCTAGGAACAGGAAACTCAGGGACAAAAAAACAACAACACAGGGACTACTGTGGTAGGATTTTTCTATTTACAATGGGGATTCAGAGGCCACAGTGTAAGTAATAATACTTTATTATTGCTTATGAAGGGGAATCAATATTTATTTGAAGCTAATCTTTTATCAGTTCTTTTCAGGCAAAGAAAGTGGATGTTTTATTAGGGTGTCATTTTACTGCATTACAGGTTTCATTAATAATTTGGCTGACTGGTAACTGGACACATTTTTCCAGAAAATAATCCAAAATAGGAAAAAATAATCAAATCTGTAGAATTCAGTTTGCGAAATGTCACTGTGGCCAAAAGGACTTTAAAAAAAAATCAGACACCTCACAGACTACTAAGAACATTACATTTGTTAAGAAAAAAGGGTAAAATACTCTCAATGCTGTTGGGTGTAAACTAATTACTAACTGACTGGGATTAGGAACAAATTTCTCTATTGCATGGATCATTACATAATTATCTACTGCAGATGCTATTGTTTCTTGCTTAAAAGTGTATAATATCAGCCACTGTCCAAGAAAGAAGAGTGGGTCAGATGGATGCCTGGTCTGTCATGGTTTGCAACTCCTATGTAACTATGATATTTTTTGCTGTAATTATATAACAATGACCTCACAGTATCTTGGATATTTCAGTGCTATTGTTTAAGGTAATTTTTCATGAGAGGAAAAGTTTATTTCAATGACAATCTTATTTTGGATAATAAAACAAATGTGTGATAATCTCAGATCTCTGTGGTAAGTAGGCAGGGTAGGGCTAATTAAGAACAAAACATCAATTTTATGGATGTTTTCTATTTTTGTTAGTTGAAAATGGATGTAAAAGCTATTGTAAGGCAACCAGTTGCAATGAATGTTCTCTTAAAGTATAAAAACTCTGATTTTGGAAGGTCTTATTAGGCCAAATTCTGCCCTAAGATACAAAACTTGTATTGCATTTAATGGGAACTGCACACAATTTAACCAAAAGGCATTATTTGTCCCCTCCGGTTTTTATGCACTATATTTTACATGTAAAATATTATGGGCAGTTATAGTGCTGCACAAATTTCAAAAAAGTCTCTGTACTCTTGCTGATCATTGGGATAAGAATGGACAGATGTAAGAAAACCAACTAGTGAAACATCTTTTGGGATGACCTCAAGAGTATCATAAGCCTCATAGAAATGATTTTTTGATGGTCAAATGAAAGAATACTGGAAGTCTGGAAATACTATAAAGGGTCATTTATAAGACCGAGTTTCAGGTTTCACTATATAATAGCTCATATGTCAAAAACATTTTCAAAGCACTGGAGGTTTTTCAAACTGCTCTTTCCAAAGGTTTAACTAGGAATTCTAGCACCTTATGTGGGCAGGGGAGGGCCAAGCATTGGAGAGTCTTATATCCCCATGCACAAGCTGCTGCCACAAGGAAGGCTGATGCTGCCACAGTGTGGGCGCCCTATACATAGGCTCTGTTGTAAGAAAGGCATGGATTCAATTCTGGCACCCCTCTAAATCAGTGAAAAGAGCTCGTGCTCTATTCACCCACCCCATGTTGCAGTACTGGTTCTGCCTGACTTAGCTGTTCTATCCGAAAGCTCTCTCAATTATGCTGTGTGTTCATTTTCATCATTTTTGGGGGTGGAGGGGCAGAGGGAGGAAAAGGATACATTCTTTCATTACAAAGTTATTTTGCTCATGGTGCTGCCACTTCCTTTCCAGATTTGTAAGCTGAAAACACAAAAAAGAAAATGTTAACAACAGCCAAAAATGAATAACAACCATACACCCATTTATATATATATAAATATTATATTATATATATATAAAAAAAAAATCAAACTAAGTCTTATCAATACCTCACATTCTATCATACTGGTAAGAACTTTTGGTTGCTACAAAAGATGACTGGAAGAGATAAACAATTGGGAAGGACTTAAAATTGCTCATAATCTGCTCCAGTGTATACGCAAAGGTGAGGATACTGAATCACTGTGGGAGTGTCTACACGTGTGCATCTACTGCACAGTACCTGAAATTACTGTGCAGTATGGGCGCGTGTCTACACATGCATGCCCGTACTGCACAGTAAATATGGTAATTTACACTGACTTGAGCATAAATTTTATACCTCCATCATGAATCACACAGCTTTACCGTGTATTGCATGCGTAGGTGCTTTACTGCACAGTAATACTGTATGTGTGGGCTGACTTGGGACTAACTTTATTGCGCAGTAAATTTAAGCCAGCATAATGCATGTGCAGTTATGCTGTTACTATTATAGTACATGAAAAACTGGATGAATACTTGTTCAAAGATCACCCAAATATTAGTCATCATAATTTTAGAGAAAATATGAACACTAGAGGAAGACATGAATTATCCTTTATTTGTATCGCTGAAAGATAAATCTCTTCTTCAAATGTATATGATCTTAAATCACTAAGATTCAATTTTTCCTGACACTGTCTTGGACTCTTTGCTATACAGAAGGAACTTCCTTACTTCCATAGCTGAGTTTCCTGTCTGATGCCAGAAGCTGTGATAAGAGCAGAGCTGCAGTGAGAAGATTGTACGAGTGTGGGTTAAATGTTGGCACTTCTTCAATACTTTCAGCATCAACAGGAAGCTAATGTGGATATTAAATTGAAGGTTGCTTCCTTACAATATAATTTCATAATATTAAATAGTTTTTCTGATGCTACTGTTCAAGATTTTTCATTTCAAATATAGAAACAATTAATTTATTTTTAAAGGTTATTTTAAAGGTTGAACGTCATCATTATACATTTTAAGGAGAACATTTCAGAATTCACTTCCCAAGTACTTCAGAACAGCTTTGATTTATCTGAAGTTGAAAATAAATTCTTAACAAATTGGATGCTGTTACCTGACATTAAACTTATCTTTATTGTGAGGGAAAAAAATCAACTCACATGTCACTTTTTATCTCTGTTTCAAAGCAAAGATTGGTCCTCATATTTGTATACGGTATAAAATAGATATTTACAGTGAATTATAATTTATACTATGTCTGATATGGACGCTATCTGGGTTATACCTAGTAAAAGAGACTGGATATAAAATACTAAAGGAAATGTTCAGCATTGTTTTACAAGCTCCCTCTTGTATGTCACATCCCACATCATCAAAAAATTCTCAAAGCCATTGTTTTCAACTGTCAAGTCATAAAAAATAATCTACATTTGTTTATAACTGAGGTTATACATGCTGAAGGATACATGCTGGACACCCATTGCTGTTCATCCTGACAAGCCAGCTAATCAGTCATCCTAGACTTCAGTTTCCTTCAAGGAAGGTTTTTTAGAAAAGGGTAATGTTAAAGGAAATATTTTTATTTATTGGAGAGAAGATACATATACATTGTACTGAAATAGATTTGTCACACCCAAGCAGTGAAATGATACTGTACAGATTCATATATTGCATAGACATTAGGGCTGGAAGGGACCTTGGAAGATCATCAAGCCCAGTTTCTGACCTAGGGGCAGAAAGTCAGCTAGGGTCAAAGGATTCCAGCAAGACAGGTGTCCAAATGTCTCTTATAAGAGTCCAGAGTAGGTGCTTCCACCACCTCTGGAGGCAATCTATTCCAGGCCTCGGGGGCTCAGCTAGTAAAGAAGTTTTTCCTTATGTCCAGCCTGAAACGGTCTTGGAGGAGTTAGTGATTATTTGACCAGCAGGCACTGGGGAAGTCCCTGTTCCCCCGAGCACTACCAGGAGTTACCAGGAATAACGGTCACAAGCTGGCAGAGGGTAGATTAGGCTAGATATCAGGAGGCACTACTTCGTGGTCAGGGCGGCTAGGATCTGGAACCAACTTCCAAGAGAAGTGGTGCTGACTCCTACCCTGGGGGTCTTTAAGAGGAGGCTAGATGTACACCTTGCTGCGGTTGTTTGACCCCAGTACTCTTTCCTGCCATGGCAGGGGTTCGGACTAGATGGTCTGCTCAGGTCCCTTCTGACCCTAGAAACTATGAAACTATGACCTCGTCATCCCTTGGGGCACTCTGGTAAACAGGCGTTCCCTCAGATCCTGATGTACACCCCTTATATACTTATAGGCACCCACTAGGTCACCCCTGAGCCTGTGCTTTTCCAAGCTGAAGAGTCCCATGGCGCTCAGCCTCTCATCATAAGGCCTGTTCTCCTGCCCTCTGATCATGTGTGTGGCTCTCCTCTGGACTCTCTTAAGCTTTTCCACATCCTTTTTGAATTGTGGAGCCCAGAATTGGATGTTAGGGGCTGGAAGGGACCTACAGATCATCAGGTCCAGCCCCCCTGCACTTGGGCAGGAAAGACTGCTGGGGTCAGATGATGCCATTAAAGTGGGTGTCAAGATGCTTTTTGGATATTGGCAGAGTGGGTGATGGCACCATATCTGGGGGGAGCCTGTTCCAAACCTTTGGTACTCAACTTGTAAAGCATTTTCCTTATGTCCAGTCTGAAGTGATCTTCAATCAGTTTGTGCCCATGGTTTCTTGTTCCTCCCTGGGGGGCCTGGTGTATGCCTCTAATATACTTATAGGCTGCCACCAAGTCCCCTCTGAGTCTTCTCTTCTTCAGGCTGAACAATTCCAAGGCTTTCAGTTTCTCCTCATATGACCTGCTGTTTAGGCCTCTAATCATGCGCGTGGCCATTTTTTGGACTCTCTTGAGCTTCTCCACATCCTTCCTGAAGTGCAGTGCCCAAAACTGGATACAGGACTCCAGCTGTAGTCTCACACAGGCCAAGTAGAATGGGAGGATGACCTCCTTAGCCTTGCTCAAGATGCCTCGGTAGATGCATGCCAGTGTTTGATTAGTTCTGCCAGCTACGACATTGCATTGGTGGCTCATGTTCATTTTGTTGTCTATCACGACACCCAGGTCTTGTTCAGTTGTGGTGCTGGCAAGCATAGTACTGTCAAGCTTGTAAGTGTATTGCAGATTATTTCTCCCCACATGGAGCACTTTACATTTCTCCGTATTAAATGTCATCTGGTTGAGGTCAGCCCACCTTGCAAGCCTATCTGGGTCAACCTGTACTGCCAGCCTGACCTTACGCGTGACCATGCTCCCCCATAGTAGTGTCAACAGCAAACTTTGCCAGTTTGCTTTTAATACCCGAATCCAAATTGTTGATGAACAAGTTGAAAAGCACTGGTCCAAGTCCTTAACCCTTAGGGACTGAACCCTGAACCCCAGTTACCAAAATTACGTATTTTTATTCCAATTAAGCAATTTTACATCATCACTACAGACCCAATTCTGGTAACATACGATAGGGTTTTACTTCACAAGTAAACCAACTGAAGTCACATACTTAGTAGTCTGTGGGGATGTCTACATGAGATGCTACAGCGATGTAGTGCAGGCAGGCAAAAACTGTTATGCTGATACTTCATTGCCATAGTGATGAGCTACATCACCATAGCCTGTTGCTACAGCAACGTAACGTCTAAAAATAACCATGCACCTAAAAATAACCATGGTGGGTACCGTGCAGTCAACTGCACAGTCAGGGGCATGTGTAGATGTGCCATGTATGGTCAGCAGACATCAGCCAGTTTGTGGGTTTATATAATCACTATGGTTCTTCATAATAAGCCTACTGAATACATGCACATCTATGATGATGATTCATACATGAATTCAATACGAAAGAAGTCTGCCACCAATAAAGCTGTCACCTCAGCTTCTTATTCTGTGAAACTCAAGTAGAGAAAACCTCACCTAATTAAGAAAAAACTGACCCTCAAGTAGGAGGTAGCGATAACACCAAACAAAAACTTCAACACAAACAGAAGTGAGAAAAGTACAGAAAAATAAATGTTTGTCTTCTATGTTTTTATGTAAACTTGATCATTTTCCTCCTTCTCCCACCAGTAAAATCCTTGTTGCCAAAATGACAGTAATTTATGTGTGTTTACACTGGAAGACTTGAAACTGCGGGAGTTTCTAAGCCTTTTTCCTCCTGATTCACTCTGGAAACACAATGTAAATACAAATGTATATGAAAGGAAAACACCTTGCTGATCTGTAAGAAACGGAAGGAAAGGAAAAAAGAGAAAGGAAAAGGAAAGATATGACAGGGAAAGAAAGCGTAGCCAAACTTTATTTAAAAGCAAAAACTATTTTTGGCATCCTATAACCACAGTTTGATGTCTGTAGTTTCTTTATCCTGTTTTGTAAAAAATTAATAATTAACTAACTAGTAAGTCTAAAGATCCTTCTGAATTCAGTAATAACTTCATGGACTGCAGTCCCTTGTCTAAGAAAAGGACCCTTAAGCAATAACAGCATACTTGGCCAGATCCAGATCTACGAGCACATGCAGTTTGTGACTCTGCAAGCCTCTTTGCCATGCCACAAACCACGCCTGCTGCATGTTAAACTGTGTGTAGCGCTGATCATTAGCAGCACCGGGGCACAATTTGCTGTTGGAATTTCCTGGCAGCAAATAATACTCCTGAAAAAAAAGTGGCACAAAGCATGCCAAAATGCCACGTGCTGGGAAAACGTGGAGACAGGAGAGCAGGCAGAGCTGCTTGCTGCCTGCTTCTCCATCTCTGGTTTCTGTGAAGCTGCCTGCTTTCCCATCTCCACACACTGTGGAGCCCTGATGCTGAGGCACCCAGAGACTCAGACAGTTGCTCCCACTGACTGGAGTGCAGTGTGCCTTGAGATGGGAGAGCAAGAAACCCTGGGCTGGATGTTCCCATCTCTGCATGCCTCAGCACAGGGACTCCGCAGCAGAGCCCCTGTGCTGAGCATGTGGGGTTTCCACGCTGAGGCATGCTGCACCCCAACCAGCTGCGGAGCCAACCACTACTAGAGTTTATCCCACTCCAGTTGGGTAGGGAGGCTGGGAACAGTGCATCCTAGGCTGCTGGAGGACTGAAAATTGCTTGTTTTATCTCCATGGAGCCCACTGCAGATACCCTAACATGAGCTCAATAGCCTTGTATAGGCTAAGATCACATGTAGGCCTCTTGAAGGCTCAGGACAAGCGTAGCGTCTTCTTAACCTGGCAGGAGAAATACCATGTATCTGTGTCCATGAAGGCAATTTTCCTGAACTGCACCACAGGAGAACTGCTTTTCTGGCGTGGTTCAGTACCCGCCAAGGTGTAGCTACTTTAAGCCCAGTTTATGGAAATGGGAGTCTCCTCCCTTGCTCACTTTGAGGGCTTTATAGCTAAGTGGAAGCAAAACTTGGGGGCATCCGAACCCCAAGCCTCCAGGCTTGGGCCTCCAAGTAGGATGCCTGCCAAAGGTTTTGGAAACATCTGAAGCCCCAGGTGTGGGTGGAGGATGTTTGCTAGTAGTAGGGCCACTTATGGTTCTGGACTCTTGGATTTGGAATTAGTTTTGGCTAATTTGGCCTTGGATGCAAATTAAAAAAAAAACCAAAAGAAAAAAACCAAACGCATGAGCTAAGTAGCACAGCTCAGAGTTAACCCTCTCCTGAAGTGGCAAAATATTCACAGAACTTCTCCTTCACAGACTTACCTGCTTGGCAGTGTCTGTGTGTGTGTGCGTGTGTGTGTGGGTCTGTGTACAAGTTTTTTTTAAGTTTGTTTTACTCAGCCCCCAAATAATATTTTCTCCCTCCACCTATGGATGGAGGGCCAGGGCCAATGGGGCTTAGCCACCCAAAACGTGGGGCAGTGATGACAGCACAGAGGGCTACAGGTCATCCTAAGCGTGGGCTCTGGGAGGCCACAGCAGGAGTGGAGGGGCGCACACAGACACAAACACCTAGTCACAGCCTGCAAACACACAGGATCGCAGCCCGGCGGCATGTGGAGCACTACCCACCACAGCAGGCAATTCTGTGAAGGGGTGTGGGGATGGCAGATTGAGGCCCCCACAATGAGGGAGGGAGTGGGGCAGAGGCAGGGGCTGGGGTGAATGGGGCCCCAGGGTGGATGGTGGGACAGTCGGAGCCCGGGCAGCTCATCCAAGGGCATGAGGGGGCTCCCACCACTGTGCACATCCCGGGGGGAGAATGAGGGGCATGTGCCCCCCAGATTCTTATATGGAATGGAGGTGAGCTGCCGCTGTGGGCTCAGCTCTGTGCCCTGCTGCCACTGCCTTGGGAGCTGCACATGACACCATATGCCTGCTGCTGTTAGGCTGTGCCGCATCCCTTGCCTACCTGGTGGCGGCAGGCACATGGCATCAGTGTGGCTCTTGGGCAGCAGCAGCCCATCTCTGTCTCATGAACAAATCTGGGGGGCACTTGCCCCCTGTGCCTCCCCCAAGGTGCACGCTTCTGGATGAGCTGCCTGGGCTCCAACTGTCTAACCACCTACCCAGGGGCCCCATTCACACCAGTCCCTGCCTCTGCCCCACTCCCTCCCTCACTGTGGGGCCTCAATTTGCCCCCCTACACCCTGACAGTCCCCAAGCCCTGGCCCTCCAAACCTCCTTCCCTCCTCACTCCCTATACACTTACTTTCATCTGGCTGCATCCTGGCCATGCCCCCAACAGCCACTTGCAAGCTGTGAAAGCCCAGGTTTCCCCTTGCAGGCTGGAATGCTGCCAGCCTGCAAGGGGAAACCTGCACTGTCGTGTGTTTTTCTGGCACAGGCTCGTGACCCTCCACCCACATACACCTGAGTGGCACTGCTGCCCAGAAGGGCCTCTGGAGCACCCTCTTCCTATCTACCACAGTTCTCCATCAAAGGCCTCTCTCCAGGGCTGGAAATGCAGCTCTCTGGGCTCCATCTGCCAATCCAGAGGGAGCAGGAACTCTGGAAATGCATCAGCGTTCTTCCAGCTCCTGCCAGGATTACTTCTGCACCTGCAGCAAGTATTCTTTTTGTGGGTAACTTGGGCACTTCTCCTGCCCTTGATCTGGTTCTCTTATCGTACTTACATGCAATCAAATGAATGTGTAGACTGACAGGGGATGGCTGGGACATGAGGGTGCTAAAGTGTGGGGGCACCTGCTGCGCAGCCCTGCACTGTAGCACTCTCAGGCCCTAGTCAGCCCCTTCAATTCTGCCTCCCAGAACCTAGGGCTGACCCCCGGGCTCCTGTCACCTGGGGTTTCTCCACCTGGGCTCAATGTGCTGCAGTTCCGGGCGCTCATATAAATACTGACCCAGGAGCAGCTGACTCCGGCATGAACTGCACCAGAGTTTACTGCATCACACTAATTGTACATGTAAATTCACCCAAATACAACTTTTATCTTCTCTTTGAAAATTGCTGAATACAAATCCATATTTTAGGAGTTAGTTTCTTGCAGCTGTCAATCCAGATCTAAAAAGGACTCTAGGATCCATACGTTTGAAGTCTTCAGCTCTCAGTAAGTTGATAGGAGACATGTAACTTCCAAACAAACAAAGATTTGGGCAATTAGACCACACAGTTTTGAAAACAGAATCAAGAATCTGTATGTCCTTAAGGAAAATTAAATAAATTCCTGCACATATAGGTTCATGCCTACAGAACAGTCAAGATCAGGAATTCAACACCTGAAGAGATGCATTTTCAACTGTACCTGAGAATGTGTCTCATTCTCTTGCAGTTGCTTCTTCAGTGTTTCATACTCTGTATTCAGCTGCTCCATTATTTTCTTGAAGGCATTTCTACGTTTTGTCAATATTTCTTTCTCTTCCTGAAGTTTCTAGATGAAGAAAATACAAACTGATTAAACTGGTATTGAAGTATTCTATTTCCATGAAAATCACCAATGCATTTGAATCTAAGAATTTCCAATACGATCACCATGATAATACAGAGGTGGCCATTTGCCAAGACTTTGGTAAAAGAAGAATTGTTTTTGTTTTATTTTAAACTACTGGTCATCTGAAGTTTTCTTTGATAAATGATTTTGAAAGTCCATTTCCATTCTATCAAGTTTTTATCCACTTGGGTGAGAAAAGCAGTATGATGTTCTTTTAATTGGATTGTCAGTTCAAGCACATCTACTCACAGTTTGTTTAAAGAGTATGTACTTTTGTTGTGCTACTATTGTTCTCTAGCTCACTCACAATGGTTGATTCATTTATGGTGGACTGATATTCCAAGCAATTTTTACTTTACTTCCTTGGTGCTACTTTTCTCTCCCCCCAAAAATATATATAGAAAGCATCCAGAACTTGTTCCATATGTAATTCATAAAATACACTCATTCTTAGTAAAAATAATAGCATTCAGTAGCAATCAACAAGGTATGCTAGTGAAGAAGAAAAGCTAATGAGGTGAACTGGAACACAAATGTTCATACAAAAAAAGTGTAGAAATTATCATTAATTATTAGATTGCTAAAACACCAGAAAAATGTGTTACTGAAGATTACAATTATGTTAAGTATAATGCAGAAGTTGATGTCATTCGCTCTCCCATTTTTGTTGAAAATTCCTAGGCTATTTTTGAAGTCTTCCTTACTTTTCTCAAGCAGATTTAGGATTTTAAGGTCACTCCTACTATATTTCCAAGTATTCAGAAAGCAAAACACTTTTACCATTCAGGAATCAAGCAAGACTTAAAAACAATTTTTTAAAACTATTTTAGAAATGGAACTACACACCAGTAATTTGAAAATGGCATAGCAAATCTCTGTAAAAGACAACATAATTTGTATTGTGGTAACACATCAAAACCTGAGTCATGGAACATAATCCCACTGCACTATCCATTTTTCTGGATAACTGGAAAAGAAAAAAATGGTGGCCTTTGTCTGTAAGGCTAGGGACAGAAGTTACACATAAACCAGATTAAGTGATCAGAAATTGGTTTAAACCTGTAACAGAATAGAACCTCAGTGCACATAAACCAGTTTCAAAATGGCTGAAACAGGTTTAAGATAAACCTGGTTGAATGTAGTATCAGACTTAATTGAGTTGGATCAAGCTGGTTTATGAAACTTCTGTCCCAGACTCATTCTTGGTTCAAGTTAAATCACAGTCCCCCAGCATCCCAAGAAGCTTTCCAGCCCTGGTATGGGCTGTGCTGTCTACTCCAGAAAGCAGGGATGGCCCTGCTCCCTAGCTGGAGCAGTGAGGGCTGGCTGAGGGGGAAGCCTGGCTGGAGGATGCAGCCCGGTCTACAGTGTGGGACTGCTCCCTCCCAAGCAAACCCTGGCTGGGGTGTGGGTCCAGAGAGGGGGGTTAAACACCTCTTCCCCCACTCAAACGTACTGCTAGCTGCAACTGTGGACTACAAATCCTGGAGGCACCTGGAAGTAGGAAGATGAAGTGATGAGCAACCCTGCAGAGTCCTGCTGCTGTAATTCTGGACAACAAATCCCAGAGACAGCAGGGGTAGCAGGAAGAGGAAGTGGACACACAGCCAGACAGCCATGTTCTAGTGCCTACTGGCTTCTGGCCTGAGCCACTGCAAGCATGTGGCTGCATTTCCAGAATCAAAAGTGAATGTCTGTTCACTTTTGTTTCAATTAGTCTGTGCAGCTTAGACTAACCTGTAAAGACTGAATTGATTCAGCCTCAGGCTTTTTGATTGTCTGTACATAGCCTAAAAGATTACAATCCAAGTAATTCTAATTGTGTCAGCAAGGGCTACTGCTATACCTTTTTCTTCTCTTCTCCTGATGCTTTCAGAGCTGGCAAATTATTGTAGATCTCTAAGTCCTTTGTCATTTGTTCAATTTTATCCTTCAGCGAAGCCAGTTCATCAACCATCTTGCCCTCCAACAGATCCATCTTCTGCAGATCCATTTGTAAGCGTTGACTTTCTAGAACAAAAAAAATAAATCGTAAGAGCAACCGTAACTTTTTTTCCTAATAGCACTGATCAGTGACTTGGATGTGGGTGTGAAATGTACTCTGTCCAAGTCAGCAGTCGATATTAAATTCTGGGGTGAAGTGCACACTCCGGAGGGTAGGGAATGATTGCAGGCAGACCTGGACAGGTTAGAAAAGTGGGCAGTACACAATACAATGCAGTACAACAAGGACAAGTGCAGAGTGCTGCATCTAGGGTGCAAAAATATCCAGCACACCTACTGGCTAGGAAGTGACTCTCTCAGCAGCACATAAACGGAAAGGGATCTTGGAGTCATAGTGGACAGCAAGATGAACATGAGTCAGCCCCCTCCGCAGCTACACGTGCATTGCTGAGAACTATATAACTCCACCATAGCATAATACTTGTAAACTTATTTACTCCACAGCAATGAACGTGTAAACACTGACAGGGCTGGCTGCGACATGAGGGTGCTTAAGTGTGGGGCTAGCCTTGTGCCCCAGTGCCACCACTGTGCCCCCGGCCAGCCCCTCTGCAGCATGTTGAGCTGGGCTGGAGCTGCCCCAGGCTGGCAGGCTGACCCTGGGGCCCCCTGACAGCCAGGGCTGCTCCAACCTGGCTCAGCACGCTGCTGGTTCAGGTGCACATGCAGACAGCATACCTAGTAACAATAAACTCCAGCATGAACTGTGCTGGAGGTGTGTTCATTCGCATTAATTGCACACGTAGACATGCCCACAGTGAGGCAAAGATCTCCTACTTACCTACCTTTATTTTGACATCAGTGGGACTATTTGGGGAACATGCTGATCAGAATTTGACTCAATATACAAGTGCCATGTGTCAATAGATATTTCACAATTTCTGTATTATCCATTCCTACAAGCTAATAGAGGCCAAGAGCCTTTGCAGCATCAGAAAACACTAAAAACCTGGGCATTTATATGGATAATGAAGACATATAAAATTGTTATATATAAGGATTTAAAAGTTTTGGAAAGGATTTCTTGCATCGACCTCAGTAGTGGCTGGTACTAATCACAAGATACTGAACTAAACACACTATTTTGATATGTAATAAAATTCCTGAATTGTTTTTCTTGCTAGAATGCTGTATTCTTAAACCTTAATTCTGCACACTACCATAACCACACATTGAAAGGCATGTATACACCTAAGTAACTACTGAACTGGGGTCTTAATATTAAAAGCTCCAAATGACAGTAAAGGTATTTTTAAAATGTGACCTACTTGCAGACTTCAGGTGAAATATCTATAAAAATATTCCCATGGTTTAAATCCTTTTTCAAGACTGTTGCAAATAGACCACTGAGTAACACTTGCTTTAGGCAGGCAGAAAATGTAATAAAAAACTTAGAAATATTAGAGAAACATTTTTTTTCAGTGCAACAACAGTATACTGATAATACTAGGGTAGGCAACTAAGGAATGTTCCCATTCAGGCACACTTTCTAGAGAAAAGAAACCTAAAGAAGAAACCTAAAAACTTCTCTAGGGGAAGAGACAGGAAGAGGATACAGCCCAGTTCCTTCTGATATGCCATGAAGTTGCAGAGTTTAGCAGGCAGTGTGTACACAGTAGCAAAGTCTGAGACCAAACTGCTTTGACCCAGGGAAATGTTTCTGGGAAACTATGCCATCAGCACATTTGTTTACTCTTTACAGTTTCCTCTTTTTTTCTTCTTTGTAAAAGGTCTCTGCTGATGGACCTTTTATATCTTTTGAGGGCAAGAAAATCTGGAACTCCACATTTTAATCACAATGGAAGAATTCTGCAGATGACTGCACTCTATTTCAAGGTTTGGGAAACACTCCAAGTGTGGAACTGTACAATCATTATACCATGAAAAGAGTCTTAATTCTGTTTATTATTGTACCTTTACTGTGGTTCTCCATTCCAGGAAATTTATTTATGAATAATTCTATATTTACTTGTTTAAATTTAAGACTGTAAGCTTTTTCTAGAAAGGAACTATGTTTTTCTGTAATCCCTCTACAGCTCTAAAAGTGTAGGGTTTTTTCATAACATAATAATAAATATGCTTATTTCAAATTAATGTTTATTCACATTTTATCCTATAATCTGAGGGCACATTTTGCAAAATAAGCACCTATGCTGTGATAGCAAAATATATATGTGCAAGACAGACACCTGAATATACAAAACATCCAGATGTCTATGAAAAACTATAATAGATGCTTATTTAGTGCATGGTAATTGCTTATTTACACATAAATATTTTCTAGTCATAACACAGGTAGCTATTTTGAAAATTGCTACCAAGTACAGGATGCGCTAGCCTCCAAGCAAAATGATTTATGATCATGCATTCCTGCCCCTTCCTTTCAGTCGAGCAAACAAGGAAAAGCTTGCTGAATCAATAATGATATTGGCAGCAGTGTAGATTATGAGAACCAGTCTGCTTGAAAACAGTGCAAATTATGAACTAGATAGTGATTGTAAAAACGGGAAAAATAGCCTCTGCTTTTAGAAAAAATAGAGGCTAGAAACTCTCTCTCAACTTAATCTCAACTTTCTCTTAACTTAATGTTAAGCAGGTGAATATGTACATAACTGGCCCTCAGAATTTGATCTTGCGGATCATGCACATCACAGGCGCCAGGTATTCTCTGACACTTCTGCTATTAAAAAACATAACACATAAGTGCAGGTGATGTTAAGGGGTACAGTTTCAGATTGATGTAAGGTTATTTATAGCTACACAGCTCTCTATTACTTACTTTGCATTCAATATTATTTTTAAAATTGTGAAGAGCCAAGCCTTTGAGACAGACAAAATCAAAACAGACAAAATCCCGTTAATGCAATGGGGACAGTTGCATCCCCATGTTGAAATGCAACCTCAGTGTGATATAACCCATTTGAGCAAAATTAAAAAATTGCTAATCTGAAAATTATTCTCTTTATGCTGAATGCAAATAAGTCTCCTTAGCATTAATAGAAGCTACATCAAATCAATAATGGAAAATACATCTCAGTTTTTACATTGCCTCACACCTAGCTTGTGTGTTTTAAGGCACAGCATTAAAAATAACTAATTCTGGACTCTGCCACATGTCCTATGCAATCCATGCTCTTATTTCTGAGGGAGAATGAATGTTCAAATTCACAAATTCACAATTGCCTCACCTGTACTCAAATTCTTAGCAGTACTCTGTGATTTTTGCATTTCATTTGATTTGAAACTGAGATCTTCCTGCATGATCTTCAGCTCTTCAGTGGTAACAGAGGAGATCTGTTTCATACGATTCACATTCTGCATGTTACAACAAATAAGAATGATAAATCAGAGTATTTTATATCTTTCTTACTATGAACATTAACTGGCCAACAAGAAAGAAGCTCTGCTAAAATGTTATCCATTATCTAACTCTTTTACAATAAAATATTTTACAGCAAAGAGTGTTGGAAAAATATTTTAAAATTAAGATGTTTAAATATAATGATTTTCTATTTTAGGCCTGCCAATCTGTGTAGCATCCTTTTAATAAAAGATGTCTTGGTAACACCAGCGAGGGCAAGATAAGCATGCTTAAATAACATTACTTTCATCACTCCATCTGTGTTATAGAGTTATTGTGCTACACTATTGTATATGATATTGAAGTATCATATCAAGGAGAATATTAAAATGTTGACTGAATAGGAGTCCTTTATATGTCACTCAAGAGAATCAAAATCAAAGAGAAGAATAATTTAGGATGAATAAAAAACCAAACAGTGGTAATGGAATGGTGATGCTGGACACAAGGAATGATTTTAGGGGAAATGTTACTCACGATGATACTTAAGAAATACCTTTAATATATAAGATAGGCAACAGAAATATGGAAAATTATCTATGGGAGGTGACAAGTCATCTATCAGAACTTGGACTAGATAAAATACTAAAGAATTAAAATTCTTAGTTTTAAGGGTCATCTGACCCCAGCAGTCTTTCCTTCTTAGGTGCAGGGGGGTTGGACCCAATGCTCTCATGAGGTCCCTTCCAGCCCCTAACATCTATAAATCTCTGAATCTGTGAATATTCTCTTTCATGTTTATAAATTGCAGTAAGAAAAAAAACCCTTTTATTTTGTTCTGATCACAAAAATAATCTAATTATTGTAACTATCAATTTCCCAGAGAAATCAATAGAAAACAAAATAGAAATTAAATTCTGTATTGTTACAACAATTTATGATTTATGATTATCGAAACATTCCACTATTCATTTAAATATTAAATATTTTGCTTCACTTAATCAATTCTCTTTCCATTAGTTAAAACTATTTATCAGAAAAAAAATATTACTTACCCTGCTTGAGTGCTCTAATAGTGCAACAATGTTGGTCTCTATCTGCATCTTCCGTTCCAGTTCCTGGTTCTTCATTTTTTCAAAAGTCTCAAGAAAGTCTAACGATCAAAAACAAGATACAGGAGCCTGCAGTTTACACAGGAATTGTGCAAATGTTCTGGGGTTTTCTGTCATACGTAAGGAATCACAATTCAATAGGGTCCGTAAAAATTAATAAATATATTCATGTTTACAAAATTACAAATGTGGGATCCCCCAAGGCTCCACACTTTGTCTCCTCTCCTGTTTAATGAGTATATGAGCAGTGTTCCCTCTAAGCTGTGTGGTGTGCGCAGCCGTGCAGGCACGCTCATGCTGTGCTGCCAGGCACACCTGCACAGTCGTGCAACTTAGAGGGAATGCTATATATGAGGCCACTGGGTGAAAGTGTACAGAGTTTTGGAGTAAGTTGTCATCAGTAGGCTGACGACACCCAGCTCTACCTCTTCTCTTCTGACCCTGGCCCTGCAGTCTCAATCCCTTCTCAGTGCCTGGCTGCAGTTGGGGACAGGACATGACTGAACCAATTGAAACTGAATGTAAACAAGACAGAGGTGATGGTGGTGGGCACACCATATGACCTAGGAAGGATGAGGACACCTATCGTGGATGGGGATCAGCATCCCCTTTTTTTGGGGTGCTCCTGAATCCTCGGCTGCACCTGGATCTTCAGGACATGGCTGGGAATTAGGCCTGTGAGAACAGGGAAGTATTGAATTCATATTCAAATTTGGCCGATTCGGGGGACAGCGATTCAATTCAGAGATTCGGGTCACTGTCCGAAATTAATTCAGCCGAATCGGCTTTGAAAGATTCAGTGAGCTTTGGTGACTTGGTTGTAACACTATAATGGGGAATCACTGAAATACCTATACCTATATTTTGGCAGATTTGGATGAAAACAGCAGGGATGGTAGCCCCTTCTGAGGGCATGAAGCCTACCAAGTTTCAAGGAGATAGGTGTAGCAGTTTCTGGGAAAGTGCACCTCAAGGTTCTGGAAGCAAAAATTGTGTCAGGTATGTGTTAAGGGGTGTAGGTTGTAGTCGTGTTGTTCTAAGGACATAGGCAGACAAGATGCTTTGGGTCAATCTGATATCTTTTATTAGACCAACTGAATAGTTGGAGAAATACATCTTAGCAAGTTTCCGGGTTTAAAAATATTTTGTCAGGCTGAGGCAGCATCTGCAGTTGGTGTGTGCTCTTCCTGGATGGAACAAATAGTAAAGAATCCAGAGGCTGGTATGAATGCAAGAAAGCCAGTCTGTGAAAATGTAAATTGAGGCATCAGGGTGTGACAGACAGGTCGGGGGGTGGGGGGGAAGGAGGGTTTAGCAGGTAAAAGGTGGAGAGGTACCTGGGGAGTCAGATGTTTGGCAGGTTACAGTGTGTCATAAACCCAATGTCTATATTGAGTCGATGAGGTTTTGTATCTAGGAGGTGAATGAAGTGAAGTACAGTAAAAGCTCTGTTATCTGGCATCCCCCGGGAATGGGGGATGCCAGTTAATCAAATATGCCAGTTAATCAAATGTGTATGGTCTGGTGTACTCCCCAGTGTCAGTGTGCCGGAAGACAGGAAGGGGGGCCCCGCACAGGCTGCTTTGCCCCAGGCCCTAGGCTGAAGAAGTGACAAAGAAAAACTCGACTCACAGCGGCGAAACTGGAAGTCCCCAGAAGTGGTACTTCCAGTTTCGCTTTTGCTGCATCCCTTGGATGCCAGTTAGCAGAGTTTTCTCGCTAATAAAGTGCCGGTTAACACAGCTTTTGTTGTATGTTGTTTCTATGTCCCCCCCCAGCGCACAGTGACTGGAAGAGAACTCAGGAAAAGATCACAGTCACTGGCCAGCTACAGATGTCAGTCTTCCCCCGCCCACCCTGCCTTCTCAGTTTCTGTTTCAAGTAAGACCATCTTCTGAATTGCCAAACCTCTGAATCTTGTTCTGAATTGATTCAGATGTTCTGAATCAATTCGGAGGTTTTTATGGGACTCCCAATTTGATTCGGATTTGATGATTCGGCCTCCGAACTGGGCGGAATCTTTTCCAAATCAAATCAGCAACTTCGCACACCCCTACTGGGAATGTCTTTCACTACCATCTGGTGAGAAAACTCTGACCCTTTCTTTCAGACTCTGATCTAGCCACTATCATTTGTGCCTCTGTAACTTCAAGGCTGGACTACCATAATGCGCTCTACATGGGGCTGCCCTTGAAAACCATCTGGAGGCTGCAGCTGGCGCAGAACATGGCAGCCTGCCTTCTGATGAGGGCGTGTCACCCAAAGCACATAACTCCAGTCCTTCAGCATCTGCACTGGCTCCCAATAGCTTTCTGTGTGTAATTTCAGGTGTTGGTTCTGATCTATAAAGCCCTATATAGCCTGAGACCTACATACCAAAGGGATTGCCTTCTCTCCCGTGCCCCATTGTGATCCCTCACCTCATCCAAGAGCAACCTCCTTCATGTCCACCTGGGTGGAGGTGCGTGGGAGGTGATTCTCAGCAATCACTCCTCAGCTCTAGAACATCTTTCCCCTTGAGGCCCACCAGAGCCCAAGCCTGGACATAGATGCTTTTGGAAGGACTGCAAGACCTTTCTATTTGGGCAGGCTTTTACCAACTGAAACTAGGTTGAGATGTAACTTAGTGTGTCTGCTTAACTTCATTAGTTTACTTATTTGAGTTACCTTTTTAAGTTGCTCTGCTTCCCCTGCTATAAGCGGCCCTGAGTCTTTGTTGGGAAAGGCAGTGTATAATCACATAAATAAGTAATAATAAATAAACAGACTTCTACAAACTCAGTTGCTTAGTGTAAAGAACTGTGATAAGGAATTCTCAAGCTTTCCTGTAAACCTGTAGGTTGGCAGGATGACAAGCTGAAAAATTCTATAAATGGTATCAAATATTGATTGCTGATATCAATTAGATGTTTTTTGATTGGCTGATGGTGTGAAGCTGACATGTCACTTTGGATATTGCTTATCTGGGGTAGGGATATCACTCAATGGAAGCAGGGTGCTGGGTATATTGAAAGGAGTGAACTTTACTACTACATCTACTGCCTTCTTGGACTCTAAAATACACCCAGATACTCTTAGATCTTCACTGTCTTGAACCTGAAAGGTACTCTGACCAGAGTGGAATCCAGACAGAAGGAACAGGTGACACTACCACTCTCACTGGCTTTGGCTAAATCCTGAACACTTGGGTAACTACAGTCACACTTTTCTTTGTGTGTCAGATTTCCTCTTTAGTTCTATCCTTCCTATTGTCTTCAGGCTAATAAGTATTGGGGTTGGCCAAGAAATGTATGTGTTAGAGTAGGATATGCCTGTTTCAAACAGTAAACTCCATTCTGTATTCAGACTTCTGCTTTGTGTTATGTGCTGAACACTTGCCTAACCTTTGTCTAAAGCAAACACACCTGCTGAACAGCATTCCAAATAGCTGCCTAGCAAGAAATGTGCTAGTCACCCCATGTAAAGACATGGGGTGTATAGACATCAAGATGGCAATCTAGGGCTATCAACTTTCAATTGCTGGCTTACACCACTAGACTAATATGTTTTGTATACATAGGGGCCATGGGGATGAAGGGGTAAGTCATTTAGCTGAGTAAAAAGGGTAGGCAGAAAAACCTTTGACCTGGCATGAAAGACTGGAGAAAAAGGAGACTGCCTAGCTGATAAACCTTGCACTTGCAAGAGGGTATCAGCTTTTCGAAGGATACATGTAAGAACTTAAGTTATTTTTCAAGGATCTGTAATTCTTAATAGCTTTAAGAATAAAGTTATTGAAGTTAAAGGTTTCCTTTGCTAAGCCTAGATTCCTGTCATTTTGTTCCTGAAGAGGATAATCTGAACACCCAGAATCCAAGGCATTCTGAACGATCCTGTATAACCATCTGAAGGGGCGGGAGGGAACCAGATCTGAGGCACTATTTTACAGTCTGGGACAGCTGGACTGTGAAGTCCCACATGCAAAAAGAACAGGAATTAGACAAAATGTAGGCCTGAATGTAGAAACAATGAAGACTTACCCAGATCCAGCTGGCTCAGAAATGTGAGCCAGATACTAAGCTCACTTATACTGACTAATGAAGGTACTGATGTCTTACTGGGGCAGTATGTGACAAGTTCTACTTTTTCCAAAATTTGTGATGAGAGTCACCAGAGAGGCAGCTAAAAGCAAAGCTTCAACAGCCTGACTTGATAGGTCTTGAGTGTCTGATGAAATCATACACTTGTGATCCTCTAGCAGTCTGGTTGCAAGTCAAAGTCAGCACCAGAAAAAAGTTTGTTTAAATTTGCTGTTCTTTTTCTTCGGTCTTTTTTTAAATCTTAAAGACAATGGGATTAAATTTAAATTGACACAGCTCCAAAGCAGGTAGACTAAACTTTACATTCCTTCCCCCAAAACAGGTATTTAATTATTAAGTGAAATATCATCTAAATCCATCACACACAATTTTTTTTTTAATAAAAAGTTTCAGTACGGCAGCAGCAGCAGTATGGCAGCATAGTCCACCAGCTGTTTCTATAAAACAGCAGCTGTTTCTATAAAAACTTTAAAAAATGTAACTTAAAAAAATAACTTTAAAATTACTGCAGAATCACTTGCTGGATTTGAGGCTGCAAAATTAGTTTCCAAGAAACTGGACGTGAGAACGTGTAATTAAGATATTAGGTAGGGAACCCTTCCTCCAGCCCCAATCCCTATGAATGCTTTTATAGATATGTTATAGAATTATGCACAATTATGGAAGGGTGATAAAACCTAACCTTATAAAATGTTTGGCTGGCTCGAAGGTAGAAGAGATGAAATAATGCGAGCTGTAAAATGTATGTGTAGGAAAACTGTACATGTCTTTGGGTTTTAGACATCATTACAACTAAGGGATATACACCTTTTTCAGCATAAATTATATTAAGAACAAAATCTTATGCATTAGGAAACATCCATGTGTGCATGACAGTATTTTATAATATTTTACAAAATCTACCTAAGCTTCAGAGTTAATAGGGAATCATCTCACTGTTTCCTGAAAACCTCATAATGATTTACCCAAATACCTCTTTTTCAATTTAGACAGTGTTTACAGTACATTTGAAATGTCTTTTAAATAGGGCAAGATCCATAAATACTGATCTTACTAACAGTACTTCATTGCCTTTTTGCATCCAAATTTCTGTCCTATGTATCTATATTAGATGATAAGGTCTTGATAGATTCTGGCTCACTTGGGATTTATATTGTGTATAGTTGTAATATTCACTCTCTTGCTCTCTTGCTACAATCCTCCACTCAACAATAAAATACAATAGGATAAAATATATTTTACCTCCACCTTCAGTTAGTTGGCTGTTGAGGCATCTTTGTCATGAGACCCTTCTTGTAAGTGAAATAGCTTTAGTAGCAGTCTACTTACACAATTAAGTACAAATGTCATGAATCCCAGTACCTAAATGTCACTTTAAAATTAATTTACATGCAAAAGAAAATACTTTTTAAATTAAGCACATTTTAAGTAACTTGTTATCATTGCTTTTATCTCCTAAAGTATGTATCTAAAATTTTTAATGACAGAGGAAGAGCCAGGTTAGGTACCACGTATATTTATGATGGTGTCAAACTCAACAGATCATTTTGTCCCAAGAGCACTGCAGCATCAGGTACATTGTAGTGACACATCTCTGAATCAAGCCAGAGCTCTTAAAACCAGAAGCCAGAAGGTCAATATTTGGCAGCTGCAAATTAACTTCTTTGACAATCTCAAAGGCTTCATGCTCTGTCCCAGGATCTAATTAACATAGCTGTAAGAGGGTTGCTTCCAAAGTTCTTAAGAATACATTAAACAAATATTGGTCTAGGATGGCTTAGTAGGGATGATCTTACCTCAATCAGGGTGTTGGACTAGGTTTCCTGAGATCCCTTCTGGCCCTACTTTTCTATGATTCTATATACTAAACTTACTGTCCATGCTCTCCTCTCTCCTCTTCAGCTCCTTGTATTTCAGATTTTTCTCCTCTACAAGAGATGTAATGTTGATTAAATGTAAAAAAAAAATCACTTTATAAAACACACAGAGTAGGATAGATGTCCAAAGCTTCAAAATTTAACCTTGCCTATTAACAACATCTGAAAAAGAAAAACTTGTACTTAAGTGCATTTTCTAATATTTGTTTATTTCACTTTTCAGTGCTGGAAAGTCACATTTGTGTATTTGTGCCAACATACTGTCTTGCAAGCTAAATCATTCTGAAATATATTTTTTATCTTGGAGAAGATATGTACATAAAATTGGTTAAGATATGAGCCTCCAAAAGAATCAAAGCTCAGTAAACACAGTAGGCCTGAGAGTTTGACAGCCTTTTACTTGGAGATAGAGGATATGGAAGGTTGCTTGAGCCAGAAGGGGAACACAGGGAGACAGAGGCTGTTAGAAGAGATAAGAGAACAGAGTGAAGGAGACAGAAACAGGATTGTGGGATGTTGGGGCAGGAAACAAGAGGTGGAGGACTAAGAAAAGGAGATATGGAGGGAACAGGCCAGTGAGTGGGAGGATATGGATAGACTCAAAGGAGAAGAATGTAAAAAGCAAGGCATAGGAGAGAAAAAGCTACCTCTAAAACATACAGTGCACCACTAGAAAATATATATTTGCCTTTGCAACCTTAATTTGGGTTCCTTGTGAATATGCATTAAAATTATTTCACAAAATACCTATTACAGAACAATTTGACCAACGTAACAGAGGCAGTAATCAGCGCTAGGTAAAAGGCCACTGCATGTTATTCTGCCTGTAAGAGGTAGGGTAAACTGGAGATCAGTTTGACATTGAATATTGCAAATGTGCTGTCTGCCCTTTGGGGATTGTGGCAAAGTCAAATTTAATCCAACAAGGACAGGAATTCAAAGGCAGATCTTGGCCTCTAGTAATTACTAGGATAGAGCCTGATCTAAAGCTCACTGAAGTTGCCAAAAGTCTTTCCTTTGATTTCAAAAGACTTTGGATGAGAAACCTTAAATACATTTAATAAACCAGAAAAAGATGCAATTATGTGAGCAAGAAAATAAAAAAAAATAGTACATTAGTTACAGTAATGGTCAAGGTGAGACCTTCAGAATGTTCTTTACAGTGATGGTATAAGAAGGAGATACAATGTTGGCATTAATCCAATCTTTTTTATAGTTTAAAAGTGTGTTATAAGTAGTCCAAAATTAAGGTGATACATCTATCGATACAGCTGTTGATGCATCTTAATACATTTGTTTCACAATTTCAAGATTAAGTGCCTCAGTCATAGGATAAATGTCAGTATGCGTCTGTTAGTTTAAAAAGTACAGAATGTAAGGATAAGCTGGATATAGATATAACTGAGCCAGCACATTTTCTTGAAGTATTTTACATCTACATCCCCTGTGCTTTCCTTTTTATCTAGTGCAGATAAACAAATAATATTCAGTGGCCCCAAAGGGACCATGATTTTGCTTGAGTTTCCTTGCAGCTGTGATCCTGTTCCTTGCTGACTCTCCCTTTCATTATATAAATTTCATTATAAATAACTTAAAGCCTGGAAGTCCATTCCACTTTCAAGAACAGTGTGTATCCCTCCACACAGCTATCATGTTAAGGTTGACAGTAATCAATCAGTTTAAATAATAATTCATGCCTTTGACTCAAGGCGCACTTGCTTTAAATTGTCCAGATAAAATTGTTTTGTACAAAAATTTGCACTATTTTACCAGCAATATATTTCAAATTTCCTTTAGGTGTCAGATTTTAATAAATTGCATGTAAAGTCTGTATTTTATTAGAAACTATGATGTGTTTTGACTAATCAGGTAAAAGTCATTGGAAGTTTACACACCCCATGCAGATAAAGATATTTTTCCAATTATAATATGTACACTCACTATTAAAAGTAAAAAACAGAAAAAACCCAGTTTCCTGTTTCTACTTACAGCCTTAACATTCTGTATTTCTTTCTTCTTGTGGTGTGAAAATTAATTAGTTTCACTTACATGGTCTTTGAAATATTAGATGTCAATCATTATAAGGGAATCTTTAGTTTAACAAAAACTAACATTTTCTCTCTTTTCATTTCAAATTTGTTTAAATGTTTCTATCATAGGGAGGTATTATAAGTTTTTTGCTATACAAAACATTGAGCCATATTGTAAGTTCACTTAAACACTCTAGTAACAGGAATTAATTGAAAAAGTTTACATCCTATACTTTACGTGTGTTATTTTTAATAAATTATTTCTGTTGTGTTTGAATTGAATTGACAAATGCTCTAATTCACTCCTCACTAATTTTCTCATAAATTTCACCCATCTCTGGACATCACTACTTCACATTCCAAATTTATTATGTCCCACTAAAAATGCCTGAGGCAAACTGCTCTTAATAGGAAGCAATGAAGCTTCTAATTCACACAGTAAGTGGACAGGGACAGAGCCCAAGTATAATGAGAGAGAATGATTATTTCTATCACTGTTTTGCAAAACTGCTTTTGAGCCATTCAGTTGTTCTTCATGTAAGTGGCCTTGCTTCACCTAGGTACTTCAGTACATGCTTAAGTGTTCTCATTTAGCACATGCTTAGGTGTTCCCAGTATGTTCCCATTTAGCAATGCACATAAGGAAGTTAAGAAAAAACAGAACGAGAGAAAAATTATTGTAATATACGTAATGGGCAGATCCTCTGTTAAGGCAAACAACCATGCCTTTCCACAGATTTATGACATCTAGGAGCTGAGAATCTGTCTGCATGTGTGTATTCCCCCTCAGTACAGCCCCCCTATTCAAAATAGGAATCATAGGAAGCTTTGTTGGACATGAGTCTCAATGAGCACGTAAATGTTTGGAGCAGACATATTCAAGTACAGTACCATATTGCTAAATGCACTACATACATTCATTTTTCAATAAGTGTCTTTAAAAATATGATGGAAGAAGCACAAATGCAATGGAAGACCAGCACAAACGTCTGGTTGCTGTGCATCTGTTGCTAAGTTATAAACTATAAAATGACTCAATTCTTACCGTCTAACATTCATCCAAGTGTACAAAGAAAATTGTGTTGGAAGGCAAGTGAAAAGAAAAAAGAAAAACAAAAAGGGTAAAGAGGAAACTAATAAAAGGTAGGATAATCAGCAAGCTCTTTCTCTGGGCAAAAGATGAAAACACTACTTGGGGAATACGAAATGAATGAAATATAAGAGATGGAAAGATACAGCAGTTACTATGCAGCTATTTAAGTTCAATGTTAGAAAAGTCATTGTTACACTGAAAAAACTGTTGAACAGAAAACACAGAAAAACAGAACAGAGAAAAGGTGGGAACTGAAACAAGAAAAGACAAACAAGAAGCATTAAAACAGAACAGAAACATTAATAAAAATGGATGCATTAAAAACTGCACACATTTTAATTTTAGGGCTTCAAAGAAGCAAGTTAAAAAACTGACAAGAACATTAAAAAAAAAATCACATTAATTTTTACTTAAAGGTTTCAAAAAAGTGAATAATTTATTATAGAGATTCTTATTGTGTCTTCCATAATAATACATCTCCCACCTAAAATATGTGCCCTGCAGATTTAGAACCAATCTTTGCCTAAACTAATCTTCCAAAGTAAGTGGAATCTTTCAGGGCTGTTGCAGACTTATGCCTAGCTCACCAGCCTGAAGTAAATCTTCTCAAGCAAGAGTAAATGACTGCATAGGTTAGATTTGGGGATAGAAAGCATCTTTTGAAACTGAAATAGACCTCTGGTAAAGCCAGGCTCTCAAGTTAATTTTAGTTTCTGGCTGAGTCTTCCCAAGCTTGAGCAGAACTGAATTACAGCTCCTTTATCTCCATTGCCACTAAACACTAGCCAAGCAGCCATGTCTTAGGTTAAGCCAGATGTGAAATAATGATTGAAAGCTAAGATTTTTCTGGTCTGTTTCTAGCTGCTGAGAATATATATCCTACTGTAAAGTCTACAACAAAGCTTCAAGCAAATGCTTAATCAGGCCATTATCTTCTTTTTTTTTTTGCCAGGGATAACATCAGAAAGATGAAAACTGTTCAAAATAGAGCTGAATTCTTTGATACAACATTCATTATAGGCAACAAATACTGTGATGAGTTACAAACTAGCTGGCAATATTTCAGGAGAT